TGTGAGCTTAACGGCTGAGCTACCTCTGCAGCCCTTGGTGTTAGTTTCTTATTTCTACCAATTCATGTTGTTTCTGTGAAGTTGTCTCTCAAGGATGCAGATAATTGATTCCTTCAAGAGAATGAGGCTGCATTGTCTGTTCCTGCTACCGATTCTGAAAGAGTTTCTTTTCTGATTCAGAGACACACACACACACAAAAATGGATCCATCCTATATTTCACATGTGACTTTTAGTCTTCCTATTCAATCAAAAAGGATGGTGTACATCACCATAGCAACACTATGGACTTTCCCTCCCTGTCTTTTGAGCAGAACTGGAGACTCTAGAGGCTGGGATCCAGGAAGGTCAATGCTGCTTCTTCACCTTCAGAGGGAGCAGCAAGCATGGCGATTTGAAAGGCTGTTCATCATTCTTTCTTATTATGATCCAGTACAGCTATTTCATCAGTTTCTCTTAGAATGAACCTCAAATATGTCCACGTCGTCAATGTGTACAACCATGTACAGTATGTAATACACACTCTCACACACATATATATGTATGTGTGTAAATACATGTGTACCCTATGTATGTACTACTCAATAGACTTGTGGCTTTTCTGAATAGAAATTGGGTACTGCATGCTCAGAGCCTAGCATGTAGCAGGAGTACAATGGATGTGGAAAGAGGAGAAAATGAATCAGAGATTGGGCCATACATGCCCTGTGAAGTGGTTAGCACAGCTTTCAGGGAGCTACTTTATCCCTTGGAGAGGAAGAACTCAAAGGAGGTTTGGAAGATGAAACTGTCCAATTTCTCCCAAGTAAGAAAGATTTTTTTCTTGTCTAGCCTCACTATTGAAACTTAATCCACAGACATGATTCTTTCTCAATATTATCTTTTGTTTCATCCTACAAGTAACCTACTTTATACTAGATATTAATCTAAGCACTTGAAATGATTAGCAAGCTAAGGAGCTTGATTATTAAAAGCAGTTAATTCTCACCTTTTAAAAAAATGAAGACATTTGAATCCTTGAATATGCTCATTTATCACAACCCCCAATAAGGCATTCAGGAATTCTTCATGTAGGACATGAATAATTTTTTTACAAAAAATATGCAGTTGTTAATGGCATCTTACATCCACACAGTTTTATAAAAACAAAGCAAATGATTACCATCAATTATAATAACCTCATTAGACACAGCTACAGTTTATATGCAGCTCTTCAGATAGCGACCACTGCAGTGTGCCGAGGAAAACGCCTGATATTAATTGACTCTCATCATGATTAGTATCGACCGATGGGGCAGATGGCAATGTGATTACGCACGGTCAACACAGTAAACACATGCTTTGTTGCAAGAAGTGTCTTCTTGGGTCCCCTTGAAGGACAGCCAGAAATAGAGACTGAGGGAGGCTTTGAAGACAATACAAAAGAAGTAGGGAAAGTTAAGCTGCAGGGTGATGAATATTTGCCTTTTCTGAGGCTCACTGGAATTTCACTGGAAGAAAGTATGGACTGGGTAGAGTTTAGTAATTAGAAGGTGCATTAAAACTAATAGTTCCCCCATTGGCTAATGTGTGGTCAGGGCTTAATAAATCCAACAACGGGAATTCATTGTCTTCAGAAGCAAACTCATTTCATTGATAGACAGCTCCCACTGTTAGAACATGTATTAAACTGAATGTCTTCTGTCTGCAGCTTCCACTATCGGCTCTTCATGTGGCATAGGTGTTCTACTCTTCTTGTTCACTAGGTCAGGCTAATTATCTCAAAAGTCAACTTTGTGCACAGTGATCCTCATATGACATTATTTAGAGCCTCCAAAATGCTGGTTTATAGCATTAAAACCATACCAGCTTAGAGATAGGCAAACTTAGGGGCTTGGGGAGAAATGCAATGACATTAGTGTAATCTGCCCAGGGTGAGACATAACTGTACTGATGTTGGGGCTCTGGAGAGAGAGAGAGAGACAGAGAGAGAGAGAGAGAGACAGAGAGAGACAGAGAGACAGAGAGACAGAGAGAGAGACAGAGAGAGACAGAGAGAGAGACAGAGACAGAGACAGAGACAGAGAGACACAGAGAGACACAGAGAGAGACAGAGAGAGAGACACACAGAGAGAGACAGAGACGGAGGGAGAGACAGAGAGGGAGGGAGAGACCCGATGTGTGTTCCTACTTCCTGGGAAGCCGTTCCCCAGTCTCCTCAGTCTGCACTGTATCCCAGCTTGCCATTTCAAGATGTAATTACTATTAGGCCCCTCTCTTTCCCTTCTTCACAGTAAGGAGGTGTTAAGTTTTATCTTTTTAGAAAAGTGGAACTTTCAGGCAAAGTAGAGCATTTCCTATAGCTGGCATGGTGGTTGCTAACCAGTATGTCCTGGGAATATACAGACCCAGAATACACTGCCTGAGATACAAGTTCATTTGCTCTGGGGAAGGACTGGAGCATTGTTTTGGACAGTGCTTACCACCCTTGTTATTTCTTATTTGCTGATCTGTTTAAATGTTTTCATTAATAAACACTAAAAAAACAGTTAATAACGGACCATAATCAGGTTCACTTGGGAACTTTTGTTTATTTATTTTCTGAGACAAGGCATTGCTATGTAGCTCAGGCTAACTTTAAATGTCTGACCATCCTGCTTCTGCCTCCTTCTTGCTGGGGTTACAGACACTTATCACCATGTCTGTCTTTCTGGGAACTTTCAAATGTAGGTTCTTTGAAGCCTCTAGTCCCCGTGGTTTGCAATAAGTCTAGAAAAATTAATATGCTAAGAGGTTAAATTATTATGTATTCATTAAGATGCACTCAAAAGTGTAAGTTGTTAACGTACACGTTACAAATCACTCCACTTAAGCACTGAAGGAACAGTGTAAAGATTTTAACCTTACCCATCTATATTTTTATCCACTCATTTAAATGGTGTTTCTGCTCTGAAGCACCGCTGTGGTAAGTGCTGAAATATGATAGCGGAGAGCAGAAATAATGACCAATGAGCAAGCAAGTCAGCAGATAAAGTAGCAACAAACTTTAAAATAACATATATTAGTATAAGGAAGAATTTAATTCCTCTTTAAATATTTCCTGCTTGAGACTGGCCTTCCCCAGTGCCTCTGAATTGAGAGGTTTTTAGCCTGCTTTGGTTATACTCCCTGTGGTGCTCGAGTTCAGGGCCTGTGGCGCTAGAGAGGAGTTTTCTGTTACTTGGTTACTTTTAGCGGACATCTTTAATCAATCCTAGCACATTTCTCCCCTCCAGATTTGGAGAGACTCCCGCCCTGTAGCTGAAGCCCATTGTCTATGCAGCCATTACTAATAGATGATAGACAAAGTACCGCGTGAGATCTACATGCAGTGTCTCAAACACATAGTGCCCTGACATGCCTGGAGGCCCCTTTCACGTCCTATCCCTCAGTCCCTGCTTTATCTTTTCTTTAAAGTCTATCAACTGAGCACTCCTTACATCTGGGATCCCACTAAAAATTTAAAATATCTTTGAGAGGTGTCTAAATTGTGCCTTAGAAGAATCACGTGACATCCCAAGATAACACGGTATTGTATCAAAGCAGGGGCTACAAATTCAGGCCCTTTGACTCCAAAGCTGATATTTTAAAATTATTCTTCATTGCTTCTCTCCAAGCCCAGTTCAAAGGGTACCTCCCCTATGAAGCTTCCCCTGACCTCTTCCAGTAAAATGCATCATGACTTTCTTTGAGGCGGCCAGGGCCTTTTTGTACATCCCCATTTCAACATGACATTATACTTCAATGATTTGAATATAGGCCCCTTTGAACTCCTTTGGGGTGAGAACTCTTTCTTCTTTTTCATTTTTAAATCCATGTAACCCTAGTAACTAGTAGGGTCTCCTGACCAACTCTTAGTCTATGCATTTTGAATGCATATCAAAATCCGGCTCATGAACTTCTTTAACTTGTGGTCTATTTGATGGCATGATAGCCTTAGCACCTTTAAAAATGCCAGATTTTAACCATACCATTAAATATCAAAATAACAAGACCGCATTAAATGTACACCCTTATAATTTTAAAGTCTTTTTGACATCAGTTCTCGAGACTAACTAGGAACCTACTTACTGGTTACTTGTTGCATGAGGACCCCTGATCCTTCGGTTATAGTTGCTCACAGGTGTAAAAGAGTGAAATAAGTCACAAGTATACCATCACAGATGAGATCTGGCTAAACCTTATTATCTGTTATCTCATCTGAAACTATGGTTCTTTGCATTACTTTGATTTACTTTTATCTGAGTTGATGGTGGCACATGGCGACACTCACCATCACAGGTGTGGCACAATGAAATTTCCATTCAGCAGAATTTCAGGCAAACTCCTCAGTTCCTTGACATTGATTTCTCAGTGCACTGTATGCTTAGACTAGTAAGACACACTTCACCAGAAGGGCGCTATGCTGTCATATGGGATGAACGAGACACCAATGACCCAGAGAGGTAAAAGCAAAGAGGCACAAAAAAAGGTGAGGGCTTGATCTTAAATAATTTTTGGTTGTGAGCCTAGCCGTTAACTGCTGAGCCATCCCTCCAGGCTGAGCTTAAATAATTCTCTAGTGGTTCTCAACCCCCCACACGAGTCACAGATCAGATATCTACATTATGCTTCATAACAGTACCAAAAATTACAGTTCTGAAGAAGCAATAAAAATAATTGTATGGTGGGGGTCACCACAACATGAGGAACTGTATTAAAGAGTCACAGCATTAAGAAGGTTGAGAACCACTGCTCTCGGACGTGTCAGGGCTTGAGTTTCGAGAGACACGTGCTAGGGTTTAGGAAGGAAATACTGCTTCACTGTAGCCTCTCTGGGTAACCTGTAATCCAGGATGCAAAAGATGGAGAAAAGAGATGAGAACCTCCTCTTTTCACAGAGTCAAGGGAAGCCTTCTCATCTGTGATTCTACTTCGGATCAAAACAGTCACCAAATCTTACAAGTTGGCTCCAAACCTTAACACTCTGGTAGATTTCCATACCTCCCCAGAGAAGGCCTGTCCATTGAGGAGGTGCTCGGACCCTTGGCTGTCCTCACTCCCGAAGTGTAGCCGGATCTCCTCCAGTCGGTGGCTATACGTCATGGGCCCTCCTGAAATGTTGACCAAGTGCTCCTTGTCCAGGCGGAGGGAAACATGTCTTCCAGTGTTGTACATGGTCCCACTGACCTACAAAGCAATGGGTGACAGGTCAGACAGGGGTTTTCCTTCCATTTCTCCCCAAACCCAGAGAGGTGCATGGTAGGCCCATGCCATTTATATCTTCTGAGGGTAACACATCAGAATAAATCCACATGTGGAAGGCATGGCAGCTTCTTCGGTGGGTTTCCTTCCACACCCGGCTTCTAATGTAGTTCCAGGGACTTTGAAGGGAGGCACTTCAGAGATTTCTTTTTCACCAACTGTGACAACTATTTTATATATTGCACCTTATAAAAATGAGTTTGCCCCTCTCATCATAGTTGTTTGGAAGGTAGAGGTGGTGTAGAAGTTCAAAGTCTCAAGTGTAAGGAGTCAGAGAAAGCAATGGACAGAGAGTTTAAGGGAGCCAAGTGAAAGATGTGAAAGCCACTATGGGTGACCAGGAGCAAGCCTCGGATGGAGATTGATACACTTTGAAGTCTCAAGCACCCAATCCAGCTGTCTTGATTAGATCTCTCTCCCTTCCTGGTAGCAGACACCACACAGAAAGAGTTCAGGTCACATGGGGTCCCATCTCTCACATCTAAACCTTATTTCTCATTCCCAGTCCCATTTTGCTTCAGTTCCTTCCACTACTAAACTTAGTGCTTCTTCCTCCTTCCCTTTATGTCCTTTTCTTTGAATCAACACTCAGTCTCATTTTGTGCTCTATGACATTAGCACAGCTCTACAAATGACCCCTGTCATTCCTATCGGGGAGCCTTCCTTACTTTCTTGGGTTAGCCCAGGGAGTTTAAGGGAGACTTGGAAGGAAACTTGATGGGTTGCTTCTAGGTTACCGGATGCTGAATTACTAGGATATTCACCGTATTTACTCTGACCCTGTAGACATATAGTTTTCTCTTAGCAATTCCATAGGGACTTCATGTAACTTCCATTTATTTGTCTATCTGCCAGTTAATCAATCAACCATTTACCTATCTATCATCTATCAATCATCTATAACCTCATATCTGGCTGTCTATCTGTGACCTTAATTAGAGAGCATGTCTTTTTATGTAGCTCAAGCTTGTCTGAAACACCCAATCCTCGGGTCTTAAGTTCTGGGACTATAGCTATGCACCACTATGCCTGTCTTAATGAAATGTCCAGTAATGTTATTAGATCTGGTCTTTGAATACTAGCCCAGAGGCCTCCCCTTTTACCTTTCTGACCCTTGTTTTGTATGACATTAGTTTAGTTCTTAGATGGCTCATTGCTCCATTAAACTGCCTTTTTTTTTTTTCCTGTGAGGCATGGGCCATGTGAGGACAGATGGCCAAAGGGAGGAGCGAGTGAGAAAGAATGAGAGTGAGCAGTGGGCAAACAGAGGAGAATCACTAGAATTCTGTATTTTTTGGCATCTCTTCTCTCCAGTTCCTTCAGGGCACCTGAACTGCATTTATCAGATACTTTACTTCTTATTGGCATTTGTTTTTAAAGTCAACTGTTCCTTGCAAGCAAGTGATCTAGGAGAAAGTTTCCTCTGTTCTCCAGCCTCAAGCATGTATACAGCTTGCTCCTAAGACGAAAGAAGAATATGCCTTTTTTAAGCGCCAGACTTTCTTTGTAGGTAATGGTTTAAGGTTTGACATTGCTTCTACTATCAAATAAAATTTGTTTTTTTCTAGTTATTAGAATAATATAGAGACATTATATTGTATATATAACAGAAAAGTTTAGGGAATAGTCATAATTCCAGAATTAACAAAATACCACTAGTGTGTTGGTATGTAAACTTTTCATATGTATAAATATTTTATGAGATTGTTAGATAAATGTGTGCATAAATGTGCTATTTTCACATACATGTATTATATCTGAGTTACTAATGATATTTTCTACTAACACAAATATTTCTAGGCCATGACCAATATCACTTTAAAATATCTGCAAGTAGTCTATGGCAAAAATACAGTCTATTGGGGAATCTTTACAACTCTTCCACTGCGTTACATATCCTCGTGGCTGAAATAGCTCACCAATCTAGGGGCATCTCACTAGGCAAATTCTGACAGCGCTTGCTATGTGTTGCAGCATGCATCTGCTATGAGCAGTGGCTCCTAAGGAGCAGAACCGGATGTCTGCAATGCTCTTCACATGCTAGGGAATTGTGAGCTCTAACTGCCCCACCAATGAACAGCTGTCCTGAGTTTGTTTAGCCTGATGCCTTGTACCACTGACAACCCCCACATTTCAAAAGACCCCTTCGTCAGAATTATCTGATACGTCTAAAGAAAATGGTGGCATGTTTGAGCAACACTTCAATCAAAGCCTGCATCCCATGCTCATCTACATTTCCCCTAGTGTTCTGCAAACACACCGACACAAAGCAAGTGTAAGAACTGGGGTCTTTTGTGTCCAAGGAGTCCCAGTCCACACCTTGCCAGCTATGAAACTCTGGGAGGTTTACTTAATTTCATGAAGCTTCAGTTTTGTAACCATAGGACAGATATAACACAAGGTCCTTCATGGAAATGAGGGGTGAGAAGTGAAACAACCAAAACAAAGCTATAAGGCATCTTCAAAACAAATAGTTAAGTGACAGACTAATTAGTAGTTACTTTAAATATAAAAGGATCACGCTCATATAAGGTTTCTAAAGCAGTCCAAATTGCAGAGACAGCAAGTAGAATAGAGTTTTGAGAGCTTGGGGTCAGGAAGGAAAGGGAAGTTAATATTTAGTGAACATAAAGTCCCAGTTTTGTAAGACATAGAGTTCTGGAGGTGAATGGAGGGAAAGGCATGTGATGACATAAATGTATTTATTTAATGCTGTTGAACTTGAAATGATTAAGATGTCAACATTTAAGGGATGTGTATTTTATTCACAATAAAAATGAAAAAAAAACTCCCCTATGAAGTCGTATTATTAAATAAATAATATTTGCATGGACTAAACATTTTCATTCTCTTCCTTTCTGTCTTTTGACTATTGGACACATGTCTCATTGATGTGGAAAGATTCTCCCCCTCCATCTCCCTACCACCATTTACTTCTCTTTCCAGAACCTGGTGGATCATAATGGTACTTGTAGAACATCACTCAACCTCTACTTTCAAATGCTCCACTTGCCTCTCCCTTTGGACTTTAATGTGTTAGCTATGGGGAACAGACAACATATTTAGAAGACTACAAAGCGAAACAAAATTAAGAGAATCAAAAGGTAAATCATTGTGCCTTTTGTTTCTCTATTTCTACCCGTTCCCCTTCTATGCACATGGCTGTATCTTCATTCATCATTCATTCATTCATTATTTTCATTGACTCCTTCACTCATCAGCAATTCATTCATCCGGGTTCAGAAATGGTTACATATTACTGATTGTGCTAGGAGCTTGGGATACTAGAGGTGCCTGCATGGTCTACAAAACTCTCACTTCTTTATGCAAGTTCCCAGGGTGCAGGCAGCTGGGGGAATATGTAACATACACCACTATGTTGTTACAATTAGATGCAACATCTCCTTATCTCTACCCTTTCCCTAGACAATGAAATAACATTAATTTGTATTAATCATAAAAATATGTGTAGCCAGGGTACGGTTTGTTGCACTTTAATTTAAAAATAAAGGCTTGACAACGTTATGTATGATATCTGAATCTAACAGTACATCTGCACGGTAGTAATTAACACTGCACCAGTGTCATTTTATCTGTAATGCTAATTACTGTGTTTCCAATGAATGACTTTGGTGCACAGCATGTTGGGAAAAGTTTATTTATGCAGACCAGGAAACAGGTGAGTGGAGAAGCTGAAGCTGCAGGGGAGATCCAGGTTGCCTCTGGGTGCTCCACAGCTCTCTAGCCTTTTTTTTTTTTAATTCATTGCAACCTGCGGCAAGAAGTATATATGTGTGTGTGTGTGTGTGTGTGTGTGTGTGTGTGTTGCCCATTTTGCAAATGAAGGAATTTAGGGAGGTTGATAAGAGTTCGATGACTTGTCCAGAATCATCACACAGTGGGCAGGAGGCAAACTGAGGGCCAGTTATTTTGATGTGAGCAAAAGCAATGGTCTCTGATGGAAGTTTGGTGTTAGGTGTCATTGCTTCTGTACACTGCAGATAAGATGTTAGGCAGTTCTGGAGGTGGGGAGTAACCGGGTTGTTTTTCAAGAACATGCAAGACTCATGCTAGGTTGCTGTCAATCTTAGGATGAAGACCCAAGAAGACCTCGTTTCCCTGGCTATAGACATTTATACTAGTTTAAGACTAGTTGGAGCTACATTTATTAAAGGAAGCAGGACATACATGCCTGTAGAGATGGTATGTCAAGAAATAATATCAATAACTTGAGGCAATATAAAAATAACACTCTTTTGTAAACCAAATAATCAAACATAAAAAGGAAATTAAAATAAACAAGGGAAAAAAAACAGCAACTGATGTGGGATTCCCCTCTCGATGCTGTAAATACCATTGGTTAATAAAAAAAATCTGTTTTGGGCCTGGCAGGGCATAATAGAGGTAAGCAGAGAAAACTAAACTGAGTGCTGAGAGGAAGAAGGCGAAGTCAGAGAGAAAGAAGCCAAGTAGAACCACTGGAGACAGATGCCAGAACTTTACCCAGTAAGCCACAGCCTCGTAATGATACACAGATTAATCGAAATGGGTTAAATTAAGATGTAAGAGTTAGCCAATAAGAAGCTAGAGCTAATGGGCCAAGCAGTTTATAATTAATGCAGTCCTCTGTGTGTTACTTTGGGACTGAACAACTGTGGGACCGGGTAGGACAGAAACTCCCTACGACAAGCAACCCCAAATTCACCATGTTTATTTTATAACATTGGGTGCCCTTGTGGAGCAAGCACAGTTCTGGAACAGTGGTTAGAGATCTGCCAGGCTTCTTCTTAGTGTGTTCATCTTCTAGCTCATTACATAGACAGCCTTCTATTAAAGGAAATGATTTTGCTCAGTGCATCTTTTAAGGTAAGAGGAGCGTTCATTCTTTGAGAATTGGCCACAGTCTGACACTAGCAGATTGCATC